AATGACGGGATCACAGCAGTCACGTCAAGCGAAAAAGCGGGCATGTTTGCGGATACGGCGCAAGGGCAATCCGATGCTGATGATAATTCTCCATTATACAATACTGTCAGGAGAGAAATATCAGAAGATTAAACAAGGTCCCCGTCTAGTTACATTTGCAGCTAACCTAACTGCTAATGGAACTCATTTATGCGAGGATAATATATGGCAACTGCATAAATTCCTCAAAGCTCCCAATATTGGGGCAGGGTTAAAGAGAAGATCAAATAGCAAATCTGCAGGACCAGATGGAATCCCTGACTTTGTGTTAAGGAAGACCACTGGTATGGCATTGAAACACATTGCAATTATCTTCAACCATTGCATAAATTTGGGCTATTTTCCGGTTTCATGGAAAAGGGCAATTACTATACCCATCCTGAAACTGGTAAGGACCCTACAAAATGTAGTTACAGACCAATTAGCTTACTTTCAGCGTTCGGCACAAATATGTACTCTCTGAAATGAGAGATGTACTACAGATAGCCAATTTGGCTTAGGGTCTTCGACATCACATGCCTTGGTGGTTCGTAATATGTGCTCTAAATAACTTAGTTACTGTTAGTTTGGATTTTGCCAAAGCATTTGATAATGTTTGGCAAAGCGCAATCATATATAAAATGAGAAGGCTAGGCTTCGATTTTAATATATGTAGGCTTCTGTCTAGTTTTCTAGCTAACAGAAGATTTAAGGTTAAAGTTGAAGATAACCTTTCGTCAGAAAGGTCTGTCAATGCCGGGGTCCCACAAGGGTCTCTCCTTGGACCCGTTCTCTTTAACATTTTTATTAGTGATATACCGCATGCGCCCGAAGGGCAATTACTCCTAGCATACGCAGACGATATATTTGTCGCTGCAGCGGGAGCTCATGCAAGGAATACTAATGACAGACTAAATGCATATTTGGAGCAACTCTCCGAATACTTCCAAACTTGGAAAATGCATTTAAATGTCGATAAGTGTGAGGCAATAACCTTCAAAGGCAAGAAGAAATATTTATACCCCAGCGCCAGGCAGTATGAACCTACTCTTGTTATTGGAGGGCAAACAATAAAAACAATAAAACCTGAGTTCGCACTTGGTTGTGTGAACTGTAATAAACTGGGACATACGGCAAATTCGAGAGACTGCCCAGTCCGCATAAAGTTCTTAGCTCAGCGCGCAGAGCGAATGGCGTCAAAATTGGAATCTTTGCATAAGGCAAAAATTCCACTTAACAGCGGCAAGGTACAAAATGGCATCTCATATGCCGCTGCTTTGACGTCAAAGTTAGCACCCAAAGCTAGCACAACTTTGGGCCAACAAACAAAGGTTGCTCCCAAGGCTAACATGACTGGCCAACAATCTTTGGAGCAGAAGATGAGTGGTGCCTCCCTTTTTGATGAACTCTGTCAGGATATTTTTGGTCGAGATTTCCTGAGCGCAGTGATGCAAGTTCGTCAATACTCAAATGATCTAACAAGTAATGACAAGGCACGCAATCGAATGCACATGCGTAAAAATTCATAGAGTCAGTGGATCACCACTCTTCGCAGTGGCTATGTACTGCAGGCCAAATGATACATTTGAAAGGTCTAATTTAGAGCCTTTAGGGGATTTAGCTAGATTAGGAGAGGTAATTGTTGGGGGGACCTCAATGCTAGACATACTACCTGGGGAGGTGACCAAACATGTTCAAGGGGAAGGATAGTTTTGGATTTTTTAATCGGCTGTCCTGATATAACCATCTTGCCCACAGATGGTCCAACCCGGGTCAATAGAGGATCACAATCTTATATTGACATTTGTATGGTATCATCTGGAATCCATGTCGATGACAATGAGGGGCGAGGAATTACAACATTAGATTGTAATTCAGATCATAGAGCGCTGAAAATTACGGTTTTTGGTGACGGACCCAACAGGAAAGAGAAACGTACGTTTTATGACTATAGACGAATGAACAAAAGATTATTTAATAGGAAATTGGCAGAAGAGCTTTCCAACTGTCGACTTCCTACTGATCGGAATGCCACTATCTCGGAAATCGATGAATGCATCGAGGCCACAAGTGAGGTATTCCGAAATGCCATAGTGTCCGCTGTTCCAAAGATTAATTCGGGACCAAGAGGACCCCGTAGACTTTCGCCAGATATACTAGAACTTATCAGGCAGAAGAAAATTCTACGGCGTAGATTATACCGTACAAGAATTCGCAAAGCCGATAGTATTATTCAAGGCGCAATTGCGAATTACGAAACAAGCCAATGGATAAGACATCTCAGTCAAATCCAGGTGGATGATCGTATGTATGGTCGGGTTAAGGCAGCTACGGGTAAACGTGATGCCAAAATCCCTGATCTTGTTAATAATGACGGGATCACAGCAGTCACGTCAAGCGAAAAAGCGGGCATGTTTGCGGATACGGCGCAAGGGCAATCCGATGCTGATGATAATTCTCCATTATACAATACTGTCAGGAGAGAAATATCAGAATATGAAACAAGGTCCCCGCTAGTTACATTTGCAGCTAACCTAACTGCTAATGGAACTCATGTATGCGAGGATAATATATGGCAACTGCATAAATTCCTCAAAGCTCCCAATATTGGGGCAGGGTTAAAGAGAAGATCAAATAGCAAATCTGCAGGACCAGACGGAATCCCTGACTTTGTGTTAAGGAAGACCACTGGTATGGCATTGGAACACATTGCAATTATCTTCAACCATTGCATAAATTTGGGCTATTTTCCGGTTTCATGGAAAAGGGCAATTACTATACCCATCCTGAAACCTGGTAAGGACCCTACAAAATGCAATAGTTACAGACCAATTAGCTTACTTTCAGCGTTCGGCACACTTTTTGAATATTTTGTACTCTCTGAAATGAGAGATGTACTAGAAGAGAGAGAAATCCTATCTGATAGCCAATTTGGCTTCAGACAGGGTCATTCGACATCACATGCCTTGGTGGTCTTAGGGGAATATGTGACTCGCGCTCTTAATAACAGACATATAACTATCGCTGTTAGTTTGGATTTTGCCAAAGCATTTGATAATGTTTGGCAAAGCGCAATCATATATAAAATGAGAAGGCTAGGCTTCGATTTTAATATATGTAGGCTTCTGTCTAGTTTTCTAGCTAACAGAAGATTTAAGGTTAAAGTTGAAGATAACCTTTCGTCAGAAAGGTCTGTCAATGCCGGGGTCCCACAAGGGTCTCTCCTTGGACCCGTTCTCTTTAACATTTTTATTAGTGATATACCGCATGCGCCCGAAGGGCAATTACTCCTAGCATACGCAGACGATATATTTGTCGCTGCAGCGGGAGCTCATGCAAGGAATACTAATGACAGACTAAATGCATATTTGGAGCAACTCTCCGAATACTTCCAAACTTGGAAAATGCATTTAAATGTCGATAAGTGTGAGGCAATAACCTTCAAAGGCAAGAAGAAATATTTATACCCCAGCGCCAGGCAGTATGAACCTACTCTTGTTATTGGAGGGCAAACAATAAGAAACTCTTAAATAGCAAATTTGACTTTGTTAGGCATATGGACTACGTTCTCAGGAAAGTGAAAGGAGTATTTTGGTACTACCAGCGTGCTCTCAAAGCAACTGGTGGGCTTTCCGTTAAAGTTAGGCTTCTTATCTACAAACAAGTAATACGGCCACTAATTGGGTACGGCTTCCCTGTTTGGTTTGGGATCTCTTCCCACCAAATGGAGAGGCTGCGCATTTGGGAGAGGCGAATCCTTAGGTCCTGCGTAGGCTTAAGGCCACAACAAGGAGTAGATGGAATCTGGCGACTACCTGCTAATAGAGTAGTGTATGATTCCATCGACTTCAGCCGAATAGATAACTTTCTAATGGCAAGCGCACTTAGGTTCCTAGACCGAGCGAAAACTTTAGAAAATAAGTTAGTTAAAGATAGCCTTTTGCACGAAACAGACGTCGAAGGGTTACTTCGGGCCAATTATATGCCTCCGAGCAGTTTAGCCACTTTGAATGAAAACGCTCTTTTATATAGAAATGACCAGCTCCTCTTCTATCATCGTAGGTTTGGGACGCTAGATATAGATAGTACCGTTTATAGCAAATCTCAGTAGTGGGTATAGCGTTCTTGCTGTAATAAATCCCCCATCCTAAACACCAGTAAATATTCCTTGCTTCTAATTAAATCCCACATAACTTATTATTTAGTTTTTAGTTCATTAGTTTATAAGTAAATATATAAGAAATCGATATTATTACTATTATTTAGTCTTTAGTTCCTTAGTTTATATGTGAAAATATAAGAAATCGATAGGGGCTCCGTTTTTTATATCTTTTTTAGGAGATTATATAATTATAAAATTATAGATATATTGTAAGTTTTTATTTTGGTTTAGAGTTAGTCCACAGTTAGTCTGTAAGTCTTTTTGTATTAGTGAGATAAGCTTAGAAAAATTAGAATTAATGCTAAGCATAAACATTAGTCAAATTGTTAGTTTTTAAGTTATTTAATAACAATGTTTAGTGAATTGATGGAAAATATAACAAAAGCTTGAACAAATCAGTCTACTATGAACTTTGACTAACGCAATAACGGCGTTCAAACGGTATAACAAATTAAAAAAACATTCGCCAACAAATCTCAGTGGCTTTTTTTCCAAAAAAAAGCACTCCAGAAGAATCAAACACATCGATTCTTAAGTGAAAAAATCAAACAACATCAACAAAATGCCTCAAATGGTACAAAAGACCACCGAACAATTGCAACAACTCATCGAAGCTGTACGCATATCGACAGCCAACAGTGCTGCCCAAGCTGCTGAAAATATCCAACAAAAATCCAAGGGCAGTTTCTGTAATTGCCCCTCTCGTTTCGGTGGTCAACGTGATCATGAAGCTGTCGAGGAATTCATTACTTCAATTGTAACGTACAAGGAAATCGAATGTATTAGTGACGAGGATGCCTTGAAGAGTATCTCTTTGCTGTTGGTCTCCACCTGGTGGCAAGGTGTACGCAAAGAAGCTAAAACATGGAATGATGTTTTGGCTCTGATTGGTGTCCATATAATTTGCGTGGTCATACCACAGAACAGAGTCGAAAACGCAAAGCGGCCGAAGAATAAAATTATGTTGACAACAACAAACACCACACAGATCATGTCATACACCACTCGCAATGGAATAAACTAAAATTAACTAATCTTTTAGGTTAAGTTCTAAGAGAATTGGTAGTTACATCGCATAACACAGAGAGCAGCTATAATAACTTGTGTACCTCTCCCAAAATTATTATGGCTGCCTCTACAACAAATCTCTCATATTAAATAGGTTGTTTAGGCGAGGTGTTTGCTCTACTCCTCGCCGTGGTGGTGTGTGGGGGGGTTGGGGGGTGATCAATGTATTAACTCAAGGGAGCGGGGTGAAGCGACAACGAGAGCTCCCAAGCACTTAATGGTGTAAATGGAAAAGAAAAGAAAGGTTCAAAGACATAAAACACAAGAAAGTATTAGTTAAATTATTCTAATTATCTTGGATTTATTGGTGGTAATCTTTTCTTTATACAACAAATAAATTACCTCTTGCAATTTATGGTGGCGGCGCTGAGACCTGTTAATAACGCGTAGACGTTATTCGTAGACAAGTTAATTCTATGGAGGTTGAACGACAAGTGAACGCTGTGGTTCATGCAATCACAGAGGATTGCGGTGATCGCTGAGGATCGGTTGTCGTTTACTACTACATTTACATATTCCAATGGGAGAAAAGTATCGAGCAAGGAGAGCAAACCAGCAACAACCACCGCTCGGTGGCATCTGCAACCTACGGTCTCCGCTGAGGGAACTTGCAGAGGAGATGCCCGTGGTGTCAATCAGCAGACGTAATTGACTGAGCTCGGGAAGTTGAGTCAGAACGTATCAAACTTATACATTCCGGCCCCCTTGCTACGACCGACAACGTAGCAATTAACAATTAAATTGGAATATGGGTTAGTAAAAGCTATATGAACGTAAATTCAGATTTCAAGTGAGCTTCATGTTACAAATTTAGTAAACGACACAAGTTTAGTAAATGGGTGACTCAAGTATACAAACGATATTCAAACGATAAGGTGATCGATTTCTATTATAGGTGAGAGATTAGGTGGCTGGAACTGAACCGGTCAGTATATACCCGAATATAGACTTTTGGGCCAACAACGAATTTAAAACTAATTTTGGTGGTTCGGGGTAAAGATCAGCACCAAGTAGCAAATCTATTGGGCTGCCGTCAAAGGTTTCAGCTAAATCTAAAGGAATTTTAGATTTCAAAGTTGAAATAGGAGGATGTGAAAACAATTTCCCCTTGACATTAGGCCGAACAAATGCCTTTGCGTCAACAATTTTAGACGAATTTTTGGGGGAAGACAACTTAAGAGAACACATTTCTCTTGGTGTAGCATGGTTGGATTCCTTCTTCGAATTACCAGAAATGCCAAGTAAATTTTTAAGTTTTTTACTTACAACAGATACCTTGGAGGAAGGATCAATAATGGCACGAACAGGGTGTGTTTTTCCATTATGATCTACATTTACTACTGCTGTTCCTAAGAGAACATTGGTATCTTGGGAGGGGTTAGGTATCGGTGGATTTACAACTTTTTTATTCGAAGAAGGGTGCGACACATTAGAATCTCGACTTTTGACTTTGGTAAAAGCCGGAGAAGGGTTTACCGAAAAACGGGGCAACGAAGTCTGTCCTCGACTTTTGACCTTTGTAAAAGCCGGAGGTGGATTGGAGGGAGCAACATCTTTATTGATTGGTGACCGGTGAAGAAGGCTGTGGTGCCTTTGCTTGCATATAGTGCAGCTATGTTTACTATTGCACGTTTTGACTACATGTCCACGAGACAAACAATTTACACAACATTTATTTTTCTTAACAATCGAGAATTTGTCCTCAAACGAAAGTTTTAAAAACTGGGGGCAGAGTCGAAGATGGTGGCTCTGATTAGGACAAATGGAGCAAGAAGTTGGGGAGGGTGAATTTATAACTCGAGGTGGGGTAACACATTTAGAATTATGTACCGACAACAATTTATTGAGAGATTGTGGTGAAGCGTTATTACTAGGTGACAACTTCTTAGAAGAAGAATGCTTTTTCTTTGGCAACAACAACTTATTTTTGGAGGGGAGGACGTGTTCTAGACAAATCAATGTTTGTATCCTCTCTGTCAGGAAATTGTCCAATTCTTTCCAAGAGGACAACGACGATTTATTTTTTATACTTTGCTCCCACAGAGTCAAAGTCATTTTCGGCAATCGCTGCAAGCAAATAAAAACAATAAACGGATCCCAATGATCCGTGGTGACGTCATAGACTGACATTGCAGAGAGGCAACTATTTATCCCACGTTGGATAGCTTTAAGGCCCGAAACAGTTTCAACTTTTGTGGAGGGGAGTTCAAACAAACATTTAAGGTGACTATTAACAACGATACGCTTATTCTCATACGTATCTGAGAGGGCTTTCCACGCTAGAGGGAAACTACAATTAGTGAGTGGAAATCTGGAAACGATTTCACGAGCCTCACCGGTGATCTTCTGTATTAGATGACAGAGACGTTCAATGTCTGATATTTGAGAATTATTTACAAATATGGTGGTGAAAAGATCACGAAAGGTGGGCCAAGATATAAAATCACCAGAAAAAACTTCAATGTCGATAGGTGGAACAACAAGGCTATGATTATCGACAGGTGGATTGGTGTAGCTAGTGGTGGTGGAAAAATTTTGCAATTCACAAGTAACTATAGGAGTGGTGGACTGCACAGTATTCGAAGTTGAAGATGGGGACAAGGTGATAGGTGGCATATAATTCTGACAATTTGATGGAGATGGTGAAACCGGAGGAGATTGTGTAACTGGTGGAGCTATAGCAGGGGAACAATTACTTGCAAGACTTTGAAGGTGATTGAGATGCCGATTTATTGTGGATAGACACCAAGAATACGCAATAAATGCAGTATTATATTTTTCTTCGACGACATCAATATTATCAACCTGTGCAGTCTGAGATGTCGCCAGGAATGTTTTGCACTCCTCATAGGTGCACTTTACTTTGTCCCATAACTCTCGAATTTCTGTATTGCGAATTTCGAGGTTGTATACAGTATACTGGGATTCTGGAATTCGCTCAAGGAATTCCACACTTTTTAGGACAATGCCAGTGGCTCTATTGAAGCGGGTGAGAGGAGTTATCGACATTATGTATGGTAGAGAGGGGAGACACAGTAGATAGTACATAATAATGCCGAAATACAAAAACTCCTGTATAAACAAAAAAGTATGGGGAAATAATAATTTAATGACAACCAATGTTGCTATAGCTCAAACGATATTTCAACAAAAACTCCAAAATATGGAAAAATCCAAAATGCAAATGTCTATATTAAAGTAGTACAAAGTGAAGACAATTTTGAAGAATTTCTTCACGATGGCAATCTACTTTAAAAAGACCACAAAAAAAAACAAGTATTTTTTCAAATTTCCTCAAATTTTACAAAATCTACCAATTGTAGGGTGTAGTTGAGGAGGTGAATGCAAACAATAGGGTGCTGATGTCCAAAAAGCAAACAAGAATATATCCACTGAGCAAAATTTATGTGTAAAATCTCAGCCATAATAGATTTAATTGTCAAAAAAACAATATTTTTAGCAAGTAATTTTGCTAGGATATATGTACCTGCCGATTGTAGGGTGCAAATGTCCAAAAATGTTTGATAATTCTACAATAAATAAATCACGACTACAATGGATGAAATTGCCAAATAAATAGGAAAAATCAAGTTTTTCCTTACTCAGAATAATGTACGAAATTGCCAAGTGTAGGGTGCAAAAGTCTAAAAAATACTGAAAGCCTTA